GCAGCTACTATTTATGTATGTGATTATACATAAAATTTGAATGAATTATAACTGGTACCATAATCTGGAACTTTTTCAGAAATACATTGAAGCTTTATTTTAATCCCACTATGGTAAAAAGAAAAAAAGAGAGAGAGAGAAGACCAGCAGCTCTTTAGTTGAATAGTGGCATATTTTATGGCCCTTTTTCCATTAAGTCCTTCTTTTGTGTGTTAGATATCATGCATCTCTCAAAATAATTCTGTTTGTCTGTCTTTCCAAAGCCTATTTATGGCCTTTCATATTTTGAGATAGTATTAGGAGCAAATATGTACAGCCCTGCCAAAAAAAAAAAAGAGGGGAAGAAAGGCCTGTATGATGCAAATAAGACTATGGAGAACAGTCTTAACAGCCAAGAATAACAGCAGGCTTGTCCATCTGTCCATCACCAAACTGAGTTGTGCCCACTAGTTATCAACAGGAGGTGGCCATGTGGGCATCACACAAAAATAGAAAGTCTGTCATCAGCAAGACGAGGTGAGAAAACAAGAAGAGGATTAACTGCTTCAGAATCAATTTCTGGGTTAGAAGGATTTATACAAAGAATGCTGTTTGTTTCTTACTCATAGACTATAAAGCTTTTATTCATTCATTACAAATTTTCTTGGTGCTTTTTAAAAGCTAGGCAATATGCTAGCCACTATGGATACAAAAAATAATTTCCTTTTTTTCTTTTTTTAGTAATTCTGTTGCAGGACAGAGAAGTAAACAATTATAATACAGTAAGATGACAGCTAATATATATACATGTGCCATAAGAACCCAAAGAAAGAAGTCATTAACTACACAAAAATATGGAAGCTTTACAAATTTGTGAATCATCTTAGCATGAGCGTGTATCGCTCAGTCTTGTCCAACTCTTTGGAACCCCATGGACTGTAGTCCACCAGGCTCCTCTGTCAATGGATTTTCCAGGCAAGAATACTGGAGCAGGTTGCTATTTCCTACTTCAAGGGATTTTCCTAACCCAGGGATAGAACTCATGTCTCCTGCATCTCCTGCATTGGCATGTGGATTCTTTCCACTGAGCCACCTGAGAAGTCCCATCCTTGCACAGGGGCCACACTAACCTTTTTTGTAATATTCCAGTGTTATACATGCTACTGGAGTGAGAATGGCCACAGAAGTAAAACAGAAAATCGAAGAATGAACAGATAGGTTTTGATCAACTTTGCTTATCTTAGGATATAAGGGAACTATTACAGCCTTTACCTTCATTTCTTACAGTCTTTTTCTTTTAAAGTATGGGTGCATGATTAATTTTTATATAATTTTTAATCTTATTAACTCCATCTAAACATGTCAATTTTTTATTTTCTATGTTTGAAAGTATGACCATTGGATGATATAGATATGGACATAGGTATATATATATATAGATACATACATATAGATACAAATATAGGTATAGGAATAAATGTAGAGATAGTTTCTTGGCTTCTGGACATACTAGTAAATTACATATTTCTTAAATTTCACAATGACACATTTTCAAGCAATTGCCTAACAGAAAAGTTAAGGCATAACCTTTACTGGCATTTAGCAAAATTAAAATGTTAATGCAAATAAATCCTCAGTAGCTTTCACACATACTGTAAAGACTCCCTTTCAATTGCAGAAATGAAGCAGGAGTGACTTGAGGCACTCTCATTGAAGCTAAAGTATAAAGTCTGGATAAACTATCAGCTTGAAAATCCCATTTAAACGTCCACTGGTTTTGTTGCTCTTACATGCATCTGGAAACAAAATTTACAACAGTTTCAGATTGAATTTATTATTCGTCTCTGAGGCAATTTTGGGTGCCATATCATTTTCCCAAGTCTCATCTTGGTTATCTCTCTAGCACTGGCATTCCTCTTTACTGTCCCTGAAGACAGATGTTTCCCTGGAGCTGCAGGAGTAAAAATGCTGATGTGCCCGTCCCTGACCCTCCCACAGGTGCAAGAGCCCAGAGCACATCCTGAAATGCAGTGCTAGGCATTACCTTGCCTCAGGGACTAGCAGCAGGCCGAACCAGAGTCTGGGTCAGCCTTGAAGAACACACTCCCGAGAGTAAGTGCCATCACTCTCTTGCCACTGTCCTGTTATCCTGCCCTGGTGACTGCCGACACTGATGTGCCTTCTCCCCTGGCAAACTCAGGAGCTCACAGTAACTCTACCAGTATTATGCATGAAACTGACCAAGTATCAAAGTCCTAAATTTTATTTCTGATCTCTACTTCGGTCATATAATTAACCTTTTCAACATACCAAATTTTGGACCATAAAAAAGGCTGAATGCTGAAGAACTGATGTTTTTTGAACTGTGGTGATGGAGAAGACTCTTGAGAGTCCCTTGGACTGCAAGGAAATAAAACCAGACAATCCTAAAGGAAATCAACCCTGAATATTCATTAGAAGGACAGATGCTAATCTGAAGCTCTAATACTTTGGGCACCTGATGCAAAGAACTGACTCATTGCAAAAGACCCTGATGCTTGGAAAGATTTAAGGCAGGAGGAGAAGGGGATGACAGAAGATGAGATGATATGATGGCATCACCAACTCGATGGGCATGAGTTTGAACAAATTCTGGGAGATAGTGGAGGACAGGGAAGCTTGGTGTGCTGCAGTCCATAGGGTTTCAAAGAATCAGACACAACTTAACAATTGAACAACAACAACATTCCAAAATTTAGGTTGTAACTTCTACATAATGAAAACCACAATGCCCATATATAGATATTTGCTTATTGCTTTTCTTCTCTCCATCTATCAAGTCTACATATGTAATTCCTGATCACTGTTCTCAACGTGATTCTCATGACACCTAGCACAACTTCATGGGTAATTTTATGTTTACTGAATATTTTCTATTGATAGTAGTGTCACTGGGGATGCTGTAGCTTCTGTGTTCAACTCTAACAAGCATGCAAATGTTGTCCTATGGATGGAAAGTTTTTGCCATGATCTATACTCTCTTCTATGATTTTTCTGATCACATTTTTTCATCTATTACACATGTAAATCCTGCAAAAAAATTGATTAGAGTTGAGTAATGACTCATGCCCAAGGAGTCTAACATAAAATGGCAAAGAGAATGTCAATCATTAACTTGTCAAAGGCCTGCAAGGTACCTGACCCTAAATGAAGGCTAACAGAAACAACAATTAGAAGTTTTAAAAAGGAGATATTACTGTGAAAGAAATGTTTTTTTTCTGATGGTGTAAGTTGTGATGTCTCTTCTAGTTTATCTAATAGCTAATATTCAGGAAAGAGCAATAAATACCAAATGAGCAACAGGGAAAAGAGCTAGGTACCTGGACTTCCCTGTGGTTCAGATGGTAAAGAATCTGCCTGCAATATGGGAGACTGGGGTTCAATCCCTGGGTCAGGATCTCCTGGAGAAGCGAACAGGTAGCCATTCCAGTATTCTAGCCTGGAGAATTCCATGGGCAGAGGAGCTTGGCAGGCTACAGTCCATGGGGTCGCAAAGAGTCAGACACAGCTGGGCAACTAACGCTATCACTGTCACCACGCATCTTACATCATGGTTCCAAAACTCTAGGAGGATGCCAGCTGTGTGATTTTGAGAAATTGCTTTCCCTCAAACATTGTTAGACATGGTAACAATATCCTGCTTTCTGTTCACGTGCCAGCATAAACCACAATATAGCTAAAGTATCATAAAACCCTAGTAATGCTATTCCAAATACACTTACATATTTGTAACCTACTTCTGGATTTCAACTTGTGAATAAAATACAAACCACTGTTTATTTACATGTACATACTGATTCTCAGACACTGTGCCCACTTGATCCTTACCTTAGTCTAGGAGGTGATCGTTACTCTCTTTGACAAAGGAGCAAATAGCCCTAAACAATGAAGTCATCTGCACCAGGCATAAGAATGTTAATAATACTGTATATCTGCGTAGAAGAAAGTGTTCTTTAAATCTGTCATTTCCCTGTTTTCCTACTGAGGAACAACTGCAGTCCACACTCAGAGGGTAGAGGCTCCCCTAGAACATATTCGTGGAGCCGGGGTCCATGTCAGTGATGCCCATATACTACAATGTGCCTACAGCCTTAAGGAGACTAAGCAGATTTAGACACATTCTTGGGCCCATTTTTAGGTCTTGTTAGACCTTCAGATCCTATTTTTAATAACCCTTGTAATCTTTTTAAAATACTCAGCCAAAGATCAAAGCTGCAGCTTAGCTTTAAGCTACATACTCTATATTTTTCATTTTAATTTGTACTTATACAACATTTTTTTCATAGCAATAAATAGATTTTCCTTCATAAGGGGACAAAATCTGCCCTTAAGGAAAGCAGTAATCATTTTCAGCAAACATTTACTAAGTAACTACCTTTTTGAATGTTAAAGGCTAACCCTGAAGAAGGTAAAAAGATAGATAAGACCTGATCTTTCAATGCCAAGGGCGTAAAACCTAATTATGAAGACAGAAATAGTAGAACTCAGGGTCAAAATGTAAAGTGCTTCTTAGTCCCTCTAGAAGGAACAACTTCTGATACCAGGTTGCTTTAAAGAGCTCTGGCTTCCCAATGAGAAAGGGGGCGGAGAAGAATAATCCTTTAAGAAAATGTCAAGGATTCTGATTCTAGCAATAACTCTTAAGGTGGAGGGAGCAAAGCAGGAAAGAGGGGGCAGTTTCAGAAGTGACTTAAGTTTGCCTGCGGATGTGCTCTTTACAAACCACAGAGCCCATATACACCATGACTGCCTCAGAATCACATCTATAGGGAGCCCCCAGGCATGGAAGGAGGATACCCTGCATCTCAGAGGTCTGGAGATAGGAAAGGACTGAGAACCACAATGCTGCTGTGTTTCAGGTGCAACTCCTAGTGACACCATGCTATGTATTCATTTTTCTATTTGTCCTTATTTAATACTGAACAATAATATTTTACACCAACATCTACATCAAGAAGGTCTTAATTTGACTAGGTGGTTACCTTTGTCAGTCATTAAGATAAGAGGCTGTTGTTTCAGAAGGTCTGAACCAGTGCAAAGTTGAGTTGCTTAGAACAGTCTGTGATAAAAAACAAGTATAAAGATGGTTACCTACCACAAATGACTTTAACTTATTAAAAACCAACCTTAATACTCCCATAACTTACTATTACTATGATTTATGATTCCTAGAAACCTAGAGAATTAGGTTAATTCTCTTCTAACATAAAATACTGCAAGTATCTACTCTCTTTTGAGAAGATTTCATTATCTCCTTTACCACTAAAATAAAATTGTCAGTGCCACAGTCTCCTAAATCTATCTCCATCCTTATTTTTATTATCTACTCTCATAGTTCACAAACTCCTGTTAAGTGCATCTCTAAGCAGCTGATACCTCTGTATTATCTTCCACCCATATGGACCCTTTTTCAGCACTCAGATTTCTGCTTTTATGTTTAGCTGTCACACTGATTAACAAATTGCTTGTGGTAGATGGCATTTTTCTTTCGAGTTTAGCTTTTTTGTTGTTCTAATTTTAGGGAAAGGAGTGTGTGTGTGTGTGTGTGTGTGTGTGAGAGAGAGAGAGAGAGAGAGAGAGATGATGATGATGATATAGCATATAACTTGTAAAAATGTTAGAGAAAAGCATTTTTTTAATGAAAGGGAAAAAACCCATTTCACCATGTAGAGATTACTACAAAGATTTTGTTGTTTTTCCTATCAGTCCTTTTTCTCTGTTTGTTTTCTAACTTTTTATTTTGAAATAATTTTAGACTAACAGAAGAGTTGCAAAATAGTAGTGAGATTTCCTGTATACTCTTTCCCCCAGTTTTCCTACTGATAAGTATACTATGGTAATAGAAGATATTATAAAAATCCTCTATGTATATTTTGACAAGGAGAAATCACACTTTTTGTTCACTGCTTCTTACATTTAATATGATAGCATTTTACATGATAACATTTCTATTATTTAAAATCTCTCAAAAACAACATTTTAATGACCAGGAAATATATACTACATCAACACACATTAACATTGTTGGATAGACAGATTGCTTGTAATTTTTTTCTGTTATTAAAAATTCTCATCAACACAGGTTATACATTTTAAAAACATCTACAAATTTTATAGGTCCAAAAACGGTCTCTCATTATAAATTACTTTTTAAATTACCAGGAAGGTGAACATTCTAAATGCTTACTGGTCATTTTTATTTCTTCTTTTATAAATTATTCATCAGGTAGTTTGCCCATGTACTCAGGTGTCTGAATGCATAACTTACAAATTTGTGTAAAGCTTGCATATGAAGAATACTAAGCTTTCAACTCAAAGACTGCAAATATCTTTTACCATTTGCCTATTGCACTTTATTTGCTTTGTTTTCATTTTGATAATCCAAAACACTTTTGCCAATTGAAAACAAAATATCTCTTTTATAGTAGCAATTTGTAATGGAAAGGCATTTTCATTCTCAAACTCTGATCTGAAGATGCTCTTGTTGGGAATAATGGGAAGTTCTTTGCTTAAAAAAAGAGCCCATATATTATTCAAATTTGACAAAAGCTGCAAAAGGTTTTGCAGAAGGAATCCCAAGTTATTTTTAAACAAAAGGAATCCCAAGTTGTTTTTTTTTTTTATGCCTCTTAATACAAACTAAGAACAGTTTCTGAAAGGTTTATTTTATATGTTCTCTGGTATTAATTATTTTGTACTATTTTAGTGTCATCAATATTCATAACAATAATTAAGCTAAAAGCTAATGCTTTATTATTACAAATTGAAAATCAGAAAGCTATATACACTCAACAACACCAAACTACTTGAGTGCCCAAAACAACCCAACCTTTCTCGTATCTCCTGACTCTGTCCTTACTGCTCCCATTGCCAGGAATCTCTCCGCTCCATCCGTCCCACCTCCCGACCAGATGGAAAACTCCTGGGCCTCAATGTCATCCCCCTCCACCATGCCAACCCCTCCTCCCCATACCATCATAATTATTGCATCTGTTTATCTATATTTCCTTTTACTGTCTAATATTAAATTTGTTTTTATAGCTGTCCCCCCTTCCGAAGTGTCAGTGATCTGAGAACAAGAGAGTTAGTTAGTCATCACAGGAGCCCCAGCATCTAGCAAAGATTTTGAAATATAATAGGAGCCCTGTTAATATCTACAAAATGAACTGAATTATCCACATAAGGTAACAATCTTCAGAAATAGTTATAAGAAACTCAACCTTGTTTTCCAGATTATACTAATAAATAATACTGCAAGTTCATCTACCAACTCTGCCATCAGTTCTGCCTCATGGAGTCTGCAGTTTCATTTTGGCACTGTCAAATGCTTTCACTGATAGTGACTCGGGAAGAAAAGAACACCTTTTCTCAGGCAGATTATTATTAATCGCTCTTTTTATTTCTTTTAACTTTTTATTTTGAAATAATTTCAAACTTACAGAAGAGTTGGAAGAATAGAACAAAGAACTGTTGTATAGCCTTCAATCAAATTCACTGTACCACTTTGCCATATTTCTCTTTCTACCCACACACACAAACACAAGCACATCCAAAAGACATCTTTGCTGAACCATTTGAGAATTATTTGCAGAATCGTGTCTTTTTATCCCTAAGTACTTTATTCTTCTTTCCTAAGAACAAGGACATTCTCTACATGACCACAGATAAATAAATTAGGTACTGGGTTTGTCTGATGTTTCCACATGATTAGATTCAAGTTATGCATTTTTGGCAAGCATACTACAGAAATGGTGTTGTGACTTTCTCAGTGTATCATGTCAGAAATCAAACTCAGTTTATTCCATCATTATGATGTTAACTTTGATCACTCAATAAAGTAGTGTTAAGTTTCTCCACTGTCAAGTTACCATTTCTTGCTTTGTAATTAGTAGGTAATCTCTAAGGAGATACTCTGATGACACATAAATATCCCATTCCTCTTCACACTTAGCACTCATCGATTATTTTCTGAATCCACTTTTACAATAGTGGTTGCAAAATGGCAATTTTCTGCTTCCATTATTCCTTCTACATTTGCTTATGTAGCCATTCTTTTCCTTAAATATCTTCTCCTTGATTTGTGTTTTTATTCCTTATAAGTATGTCCAAATTCAAGACTTGTTTCAAAAATTATTTTTAGATTTTTTACATGTTATCATGTTTTTCTTTAACTTTCCATTTTCAAAGTTACATGTTAAGAAGCCCAGAGCTGACATTTCACATTGCTCCACTTAACCATTTTTGTACTTCATAAAATTTGTTTAAGACTTCTAAGTCTTTCTTCAAACTTCTAACTGTAATCCAAGACTAGATTGGTCTCATTACAGTGCTACCTAATCAGTCATGGAAAATGTCTAATTTCTGTCTAAGAATCTTGTTAACATATCTCTGGTTTGTACAGATTCATTTTTATCACATTTCATTGCACAGCGAAGAATAAGAAAGATTTAGTCTAATCCTGCAATTTAGATACCAATAAACTTCTATTCTACTAGCTTAAGTTTGTGTTCAGACAAAAATCAAAATGAAATCCTCAGAGAATAGATTGATCTAATAACTTTAGTGGGGGAAAAAAAAAAAAAAACTTTGGGAGCTTCTCTGGTGTCTCAGTGGTAAAGATTTCACCTGCCAGTGCAGGAGACGCAGGTTCGATCCCTGATCTGGGAAGATCCCATGTGCCGTGGAGCAACAATCCCACACACCACAATTACCGAGCCTGTTCTCCAGAGCCTGCGAGCCACAGCTCCTGAGCCCACATGTCTCAACTACTGAAGTTCACATTCCCTAGGGCTTATGTTCTGCAACAAGCGAAGTCACGTTAGTGAGAAGCCTATGCACAGAATAGCTGCCCCTTGCCACAACTAGAGTAAAGCGTACACAACGATGAAGATCAAATAAAGAAAATTTTAATACTTTGGATGTTAACTTTCTAAAGTTAGATGATTTTGTAAACCTATGCATTTACCTTTAAGTAACTACCATATTAAAAAATAATTTAGGAAATCTTGCTGCTAAATATTACTCAAGTTCTTTTTTTCTGAAATTATATCTCCAGTCTTAAGATTAAGGGCTATGTGTTCTGAAATATGCTGTTATTTCAAGTCAAGCAGTGCCACTTTGAAAGGACCCACAAATACATATAATACTTCAGAGCCAACATCAATTGTGTACGGTGAAAAAAATCATTTGAAACTTGGAAACTATGGCATGGAGGATCATAGATTTTCAGAGCTCGGTGGTCACATCCAGAAGGCAAGAGGACATGAGGTGATTTGGCCACAATCTATTCATATCAAGTAGATAAGGATGACGTATTAATTAAAAATGCTAAAGAGAGATTGATGATTTGAAGAGCATAGGTCTATCCATGTTTAACAGTGTTGAGTTTGTCACCCCTGCCTACAGCCTCACCTTTTGTTAGTCATCCTCTCCTGAGAGGATGTGGCTTTATGGCTGTGACCTCAGTCCCAGACTGGTTTCAAGACCCAATCCTGATTTTAGACAGGTGATATTTAAGGAAATTCAGTCAGTTTGTTTAGAACTGACATCAAATGAACCATGCTCTTTTTTCCTGAACTCTGACTTTGCATGCAGAGGTTTTCCTCTGACTCCTTAACCAGATTCCCATTTTGGTTCAGATTCCACCTTGAACCAATGACTGACCTGCTCTGTTGCACACTCACCTGCTGAGATTTTCAAATGTTAGCATAACTGAAGATCCTGCACCACCTAGCTCTTTTTTGTCAATGTACCTCTGTTAGGGCTTCCCAGTTGGCACTAGTGGTAAAGAACCTGCATGCCAATGCAGCAGACATTAAGAGACATGGGTTCAATTCCTGGGTCAGGAAGATCCCCTGGAGGAGGGCATAGCAACTCACTCCAGTATTCTTGCCTAGAGAATCCCAAGGACAGAGATGTCTGGCAGGCTACAGTCCATGGGGTTGCATAGAGATGACTTAGCATGCATGCATACCTCTATCACTAAACATTGAATTAGTCTATCTCACATCAAACACCTGTGATCTTTCTCATTTATTCCAACATTTATGAAGTGCCTC